TTCCTGGCAGAACTTACTCATGGAATGTTCAGAACCTGAGTCGTCCAATACAGTAGCCCCTGGCCACATGGAGCTCTTTATATTAAAATTAAATACAATTAGCCCGGCCGGTGTAGCTCAGTGGTTGAGCATCAACCCATGCACCAAGAGGTTACTGGTTCGATTCCTAGAGCCCAGGTTGTGGGCCGGATCCCCAGTGGGGGGCATGCAGGAGGCAGCCAGTCGATGTTCTCTGTCATCAATGTTTCTATCTCCCTCTCACTTCCTCTCTCTTTAAAACCAATAAAGGGCTTTTTCTTCTCTCTCTCTCTCTCTCTCCCACCTCACTCCCTCCTTCTCTCCCTTCTTTCTTTTTCTTAAAAAAAAAAAATAGTACATTATAAAAAAGTAATTAATTAAATAAAATCAATAAAGGAAACAATTTTTTAAATCTCTCAAGCTTTAAAAAAAAAAAAAATTAAATACAATTATAAATTCAGTTCCACCCTGGCTGGTGTTCTCAGTGGTCAGAGTGTCCTCCCAGGCACCGAAGGGTTTTGGGTTCAATTCCCAGTGGAGGGCATGTACCTGGGTTTCAGGTTCGATCCCCGGCTCCAGTCAGGGTGCATGCAGAAGGCAGCTAATCGATGTGTCCCTCTCACATTGATGTTGCTCTCTCTCTCTCTCTCTCTCTCTCTCTCTCTCCCTCTCTCCCCTCCCTCCCTTCCATTCTCTCTAAAAATCAATGGAAAAAATATCCTCAGGTGAGGATGAACAGAAATAAATAAATAAATACAGTAAAAACGTCAGTTCCTCGGAGTGGTAGGGAGCCACACGTGGCCAGCGGTGCCACATCGGATGCGGCTACAGAACATTTGCACCTTCGCAGAAGGTTCTGGTGGACAGGGCTGGCCGGCTCCCCTGGGCACGTCTCACCTCCTACCCTCCTTCCTCTCAGCGTGGCCGCTGAAACCGAAGAAATTGTTCCCGATAAGATCAGCAATTACCGGTATGTCCCCAAATATAAAGGCGTCTATTCAGGTCTCATCTGACCATTACAAAGTGCGCTGGTCACAGCTGAAAGGCTCTGGTTCTAGAAACCCTTTTCCTTGGCACAGCACATCTGCCCCGCCAGCAGCTGTACCCCCCTCAGCTGTGGCTTTCTCTCCCTGTGCCTAGGTTGTCCCCAGATCAGGCCCAGGGGGCTTCCCTACACCGGTCTCAAACTCCATGCCCCCAGGGGCCGAGTTTCACTGGAGGCAGAGAAGCAGCAGGGGCTGCACCAGGGGCCGGAGGCGAGCAAGTTTATCTTGCAGCTTTCAGAGACGGGTTTTTCTTTCCTTTTTCTTTTTTTTTTAATCCTCACCCAAGGACATTTTTGCATGTATCTTCAGATAGAGCAGGAGAGAGAGAAGGAGGAAGAGAGAGAGAGAGAAACATCGACATGAGAGACACATTGACTGGCTGCCACCCACACGACCCCAACAGGGGCCGGGGACAAACTGCAACCGAGGTAGGTGCACTTAGCGGGAACCGAACCCGGGCCTCTCTGGTCCGCGGGCCAGCGTTCTAACCGCTGAGCCAGACCGGCCAGGGCCAGAGACAAGCTTTTTTCAAACTGCTCTTTCATGCCAAAAAATAAAATAAAATAGGTGAGAGAATTGCCAGTTTGCAACCTCCCTGACTTTATCCTTTCCTCCCCCACCCCGCCTCTAAAACATGCCACCCACTTCCAGTTTCCATCGTCACCAACAGCTAGGACTTTTCAAATCCTGGATGGCAGTCCCAGACCTTCCTCCGAGTCCCAGGCCCAGGTCTGGGATGCCCCCTCCCCCCGCCCCCATTCCCCTGGGCCCCTCCAACTCACTAGGTCTCACACTGAGCTCCGAAACTTTTCCCAAACTGGCTCATCCTCCTGGGTCCCTCGGCTTGGGGACAACCTCACTCTCTCCCAGTCCCAAGGCCAAAAGTCCAGGAGTCACTCTCCTTACCCCCCAAATCCATCAGTCCCATAAGCGTTTCCTGCTTGGTGTGTCCTCACAGCCCAGGCCTGGCTCAGGCCTCTGCCCCTCCCACCCCGAGCCTCCGCCAACCTCTTCCCCAGCTTCCCGAACTCCTGTTCATTCTCGCAGGGCCCCCAGAGGGCATTTCCATACCCAGAGCTGCCCCTGCCCCTCCCGTGGTTCCCCAGCACCCTAGGACAAGGTCTCAGACTTCGAGGTGGTGTTTGAGGCCCGTGAGGTGTGGCCCAGCCGACCTCCTTGGCCTACGCTCTCGGGACAGTGCCCATGCACCCTGAACTTGGCTCCATTTTCCAGCCGCATCACATTGTCAATAGAGGGCAATTTGCACATGCTGTTTACACTCCTGAAACCACTTTCCGCGTTCCTCTGTCCAGCCCGCCTTCAACTGTCAAACTCCAACTCCTCCTTCCCCAGATGACATGAGCGACGCCCTGTGTCCTCCCCAGTCTGAGCCAGATGCTCCTCTCAGCTCCCAGGGGGCCCAGTGGCAAGCCCTTGGCAGCCCCGACGTAGCCTTACCGATCCCTCCTCCCACTAGACCAGAGGTTCCTAAACTCTCTTGACCACACTCTAGTGTCCACCAGTAAGTTTCTCAGCACTCACCCCCGTAAATGTGTATCTGTTTATTTATTTATACATCATCGCAGGCCAGACCGCGTTAAGAAAATATGTTCACAACAAAACACACACTAAGTTAGGAATGTTGACATTTCCCACGCCCCGAAGATCGTTTTGAGACTGACTAGAAAGCCTGAACCCAAGCAAGAGGCTATCATTGAAGGCCGGAGCAGCTCACGGGTGGCAAACTGTCTGACCCACGTGGTGTAGCAGCCGCCCAGCACAAGCTCTCTGGGCCTGCTCGGGCAGCGCCTGCTCCCTGCCCATGGGAGTTGCAGACATTTCTCAGTGCTTACCATGTTGGGCACTGTTCCAGAAATATCACAAGCGTTTAATTCCTACCATAACCCCAGGGGGTAGGGTCTGTTTTTATGTCCAGATGACAGATTAGGGCCAGAGAGGTGTAGTAATTTGCCCAAAGCCACACAGCATGTGTCCCCAGGTGAAATTTGAACCTTGGCAGGGCCTGTGCTCCTGAAAAGTACGCTGTCTTGGGAGATCTGAATGAAAGTTTCTTGGATGGATGGATGGATACAACGGAGACAGCCAAGAAAGAAAAACAGAAAGTGACACAAAGACCAGGGGAAGGAAAGATACAGAATCGAGTCCCGGTGCTTTAACACTACCTGGGCAGGAGCACGGGAAATTGGAGTGTTCCAAGCCTCCCCGAGGGACTGCACCATGGGGAACGCCCTTGGAAGTGTCCCCGGTGTCAGCAATAGGAGGTGGGGGGGGCAAAGGGTAGGATCTGCAGTGGGCGGGGTCAGCAGTCTGGGAACGCTCTGGGCGGGTCCCCAGGGCGAATTCCTCACCCCGGATCTGTGGTGTCAACGATGAATGTCGTGCATGTCTTCTTCTTGAAGATCTTGGGGATCCAACTCTGGGGACAGGAACAAGGGGTGGGGGGACTCCAGTTCAGTTCTATGGGAAACGGAGTCAATCATCCCGCGCCCTACCCCAGGACCAGGAGTCGGGGACCCCAGCGCCCTCCTCCCCTAGACTTGGGAGTCTCGACCCCCACACACAGCCCCCTCTCCCAGCCGTTCCCAAGGACCCTGGAGTCCGGACCCCTCCAAATGCCTTTTCCGTCCGACCCAAGAATCTGGGTCTCCAGCACCCTCCTTTCTGGGAACCAGGACACCAGGCGCCCAGCTCCCCGTTCCCTCAGACCCGGGGTCCGGCCACTGTACCTGTTCCTTCTCCTGACCCACCATGCTGCCGCAGTCGCTGTAACCTATCCGGCTCCTCACATACCCTCCACCAACCCTGATTTCCGATCCGCCTTGAACAAACCGGATCTGCCACTTCTCAGCCCAGCCGGAGGCGGGGGAAGGTCCTGGAGGCAGGGCAACTCCGAGACACGCAGGGCGCGAGGCGGGGCCAGGGGCGGGCCAGGCCGGCCAGACTGACCCGGAGAGGGGCTGAGACCTAGAGAGAGGGGGACAGAAACAGAGAGAAGGGGACAGAGGCACAGAGACCCAGAGAGGAAATGCCAGAGACTGGGGGGTGGGGGGCACATTGACACAGAGCGGGAGACAAAGACTTGGGTGGGGGCAGACACTCAGAATGAGAGGGAAAACAAGCCGAAGAGTGGTGGGGGGAGGGGGGCAGAATCCTGGGGAGGGAGGACAGGGACCCTGAGAGAGTGAGTGACAGAAACTAGGAGACAGAGGGAGACCCATAAACAGGGATGGGAACCCAGAGAGCTATAGGGACAGGATGAAGAGCGGGAGATATTGACACAGGGACAGGCAGGGCCACATGTCTCTTGCCAGCTCTCTCTGACAGGGACAGCTGCAGCCTCTTGGGTAACCTGAGCCCCCCTGCTGTATTTATAGTCCTGGCCTGGCCCAGTCCCCTGCCCCCAGATCTGAGTTCCAGAAACAGGAGGTCATGGGCATATGTGTGCGGGAGCAGATTTCCTTCTGCCCCTCTCTAAGGTCTCCACATTGGCATCCACTCTCTCGGCAAAGTGTTCTAGGCTAGCCAGACACCCCAATCCTCCATGGCAGTGGTCTCATCCCTCACATATATCTCTCTTGGCCCCCAGCTGCCTCAGGCTCCCCCCGACTTGGCCCATTACCAGTCTAGCTGTTCTTTGCAGCTGCCAAACATGAACTTGTTGGTGGTCCAAAGTCAAGTCCCTTGGCCCCCCTCTCCTGGCCAAGGAGAGACCCCTTCACCCACCCTTTCCCAGCTGGGAGGAGGAGGAGCAGGAGGGGAAGGGCAGGGGACTGACCCAGAATAACTCAGGGCTGAGAGTAAATTTAGACACAGAGAGGGGAGGGGAGAGACCCTATTGGCTGGAAGGTGGGAGGGAGGGCCCAAGAGGGGGGGGTCAGGGGGCTCCTGAGACTGCCTCACAGGGGTGTCCAGTGCGGTATCGAGGGCCAGTGGAAGGCAGACAGGCAAAGACGGAGAGAGACACAGCAAAGAAAAGACACAGAGAGAAAGACCCAAAAAGAGACAAGAACCCCCAACATTCATCCACATAGCAGCAAGTGGCAGCCAGAGCCAGCCTGGGAGAAGGTCTGCTGCCCGTCCGTCCCCATGGGCCGCCGTGGGCCATGGCTGCACACTTCTCTCCTCTGGGCCGCTGTGGCCAGCCTGCTCCTCCCCCCTGCCATGACCCAGCAGCTGGGAGGGGCTGGGCCTGGCCCCAGCAACTGGAACAACAATGCAGGAGTCTCGGGGCCCTCAGAGGACATGTCAGGTGAGCTTGGCCACCCCATCCACAGTCAAAGAGGCCACAGAGATGAGAATGAGGATGTTTTCTGGAGCCACGGAGATCATGAAGAAGAGGATGAAGATGTCTCCAGGGAATATGGTCACCAACTCCAAGGCCACATGTACCAAGGCCATGAGGTTGCGGATGAGAATGTCTCTGATGAGGAGGTCTCCACAGAGCATGCTCAGCAGTCCCATGGGCACAGAGGCCATGGGAATGAAGATGTGAATGATTCAGCAGAGCATGGGCACCCCTTCTCCAGCCACAGGAGCCAGGGACATCAAGACAAGGATGAGAACGAAATTGTGTCCAGTGAGTATCAGCATCATATCATCAGGCATGTACACCGAGGCCACAGAGAAGAGGATGATGATGATGAAGAGGAGAGTCTTTCTACTGAGTATGGACACCAGGCCCACAGGCACCAAAGCCACAAAGAAGAAGAAGATGATGATGATGATGATGATGATGATGTCTCTAATGAGTATGGACCCCAGGCCCACAGACACCAAGATGATGATGATGATGATGATGATGATGACGATGATGTCTCTAATGAGGATGGACCCCAGGCCCACAGGCACCAAGATGATGATGATGATGATGATGATGACGACGATGATGTCTCTAATGAGGATGGACCCCAGGCCCACAGGCACCAAGGCCATGGAAAGGAAGAGGATGAAGGTGTCTCAGATGAATACCATCATCATGTCCCTGGCCATGGACACCAAGGCCACAAAGAAGAAGAAGAAGAAGAAGATGATGATGATGATGATGTATCTACTGAGTATAGACACCAGGCCTATAGGCAAAAAGATTACAGCAAAGAAGAGGATGAAGATGTCTCAGATGAACATCACCATCATGTCCCTAGCCGTGTACACCAAGGCCACAAAGAAGAAGATGATGATGATGATGTTTCCACTGAGTATGGACTCCTGGCCCACAGGCACCAAAGCCACAGGAAGGAAGAAGATAATGTCTCAGATGAACACCACCATCATGTCCCCAACCATGGACATCAAGGCCATGAAGACAAGGAAGAAGAGGATGAGGATATGTCCACTGAACACTGGCATCAGGTTGCCAGACATACTTACCACAGCCTTGAAGATGAGGAGGAGGAGATCACTGTCAAGTTCAGCCACCACGTTACAAGCCATCAACCACAAGGCCACAGAAGCACTGAGGAGGAGTACCTCCCAGAGGAGTATAAAAGAGAAGTCCCTAGCCTTCACCACCACGGCATCCCCAAGGAGGAAGGGGAGGACATCTCTGCTCTCAGCCATAGTCAACTAGGCCACAGAGATGAAGGGTCTGGCCAGAGAGTATCCATCAAAGACATTAGCCCCCAGCCCCCAGAATACACAGGGGTCAAGGATAGAAGCCATTTCAGAGAAAGAGATTCTGAGGAAGAAGAGGAAGAGGAAAAAGAAGAACATGTCTCCCATGAAGAAGGTGATGAAGGTTCAGAGCAGGGAGAAGAAGGCACTCACCAGGGCAGTTTGGCCCGAGAGGATGAGGAAGACGAGGAGGAAGGTCATGGCCTCAGCCTGAGCCAGGAGGATAAGGAAGAAGAGGAGGAGGAGGAAGAGGAGGAGAAAAGAGAAAAGAGGACTGAGGTTCAGGCCCCACTGAGCCAAGACTACCAGGAGGAGGAAGAGGGCGAGGAGGAAGAGCTGGAGGAAGACCAGGTCCCGTTCACCATCATCCCCAACCCACTGGCCAGGAAGGAGGTGGTTGGCGGTGGCTCCAGTGAGGAGAGTGGTGAAGTCGCTGGTAAGTGATCTGGCCTGGTGGGAGCGGGGAGGAGCTGAGTCAGTCGGTCACTACTGCCCTCCTGTCCCCACAGGTCCACAGGATGCCCAAGAGTACGGGAACTACCAGCCAGGGTCCCTGTGTGGCTACTGCTCCTTCTGCAATGTATGTCCCCAGCCCAGGTCGATCCACAGAGCAGTCCCTGGAATTTGTCCCAGGGCCCTGGGGTGCCTTGGGAGGGCTCTGAGCAAAGGAAGGGCAGCAACAGCTCCAGGTGAAGAAGGACACTTCTGGGGCCACATAGGGGACAGACTGAAGGCCAGGATACGATAGAGGAGGGTGGGACAATGGTCCAGGGAGGGGAGGAGGAGGCCTGAGCTGCACCTGTGGATGTGGGGAGAGAGGAAAGTCCTTGACAAACAGTCAGGGGAGGAAGATGACCCTGGGACTGGAGAATGACAAGCTGTGGGGAAATAGAAAAGGGGATGAAGAGAGCATCCTCTGGTCCAGCCCACAGTGATGGGGGGATGTGGAATCCCCCTGCCATAGGAAACGAAGCAGGGAGAAGTGGCTTTGGGGGAAGATACTGAGCTCAGTGTTGGAGGTAATGAGGGTGAGGAGCTGGGGGAAGGGTGGAAGACTGGCAGGTAGCTCCCAATCTAACCAGCCTCCTCTGGTCCCCAGCGATGCACTGAGTGTGAGAACTGTCACTGTGACGAGGAGAACATGGGAGAGCACTGTGACCAATGCCAGGTGAGATATCCCCCCGACTTAAGGCTTCACCTCAGCCTCAGGATGGCCCAGGACCATCTGAGCACCCCCAACCCCAAATCCTGGCCTCTACCCTCAAACTGACCAAATCCCTTTTCCCTGATGCAGCCTTGACTCTACACTCCATCCTGCCTCTTGACCTTAACCTCCACCTAGCTAGCTTCCTGCCTGCATCCCCATCCTGACCCTACCTTTGACCACGTCCTGCCACTCACTCGATCTCCCCATTCCCATTCCAGCACTGCCAGTTCTGCTACCTCTGCCCATTGGTCTGCGAAACTGTCTGTACCCCAGGTGAGCCTGGTGGGCGGGCTCAGGGGGAAACCTGAGGAAGGGGCGGGGCCCAGCGAGGAGAACCCCGGTGGGGACGGAGCCACATCTGAGGGGCAGAACTGGGAGGTTGTGTAGGGCGAGGGTAGGTGTGGCAGCGAGGTCGAGGCTGAGAGTCTGGGTGGAGCGGGGTGAGCACGGGGGCCTGGGCAAAGAGAAGGTAGAGGATAGATGCTGAAGCCTTGGAGGCAAGAATGGGTGCAGGGATGAGGGGTGGGCCTAGCACTGAGTGGGCGGGGCCAAAGCAAGAAGAATTCGCAGGCCCGGGGTAGCTGGAGAATGGGAACACTTAGCGCCAGCAGTAACGAGACGGGCCTTTAAAGGAAAGGAGTTCCAGTGGAATTCGGTTTGGGGAAGGAAATGGCAGAGAGGGCGGCGTGTCTTGATGACTCCTAATTTCGTCCGTGGAGTAAGTACCCCGCCAACGTGTTCTCTCTTCTCTCCCACAGGAAGCTACGTCGACTATTTCTCCTCGTCCCTGTACCAGTAAGTGTGTGGAGGGGATAGTTTAAGGGCCCTGTTTAGAGAGGCGCTGTCCCGCTGAGTTACTGGACAACCCTGGGACTCCAGTTCCCCCTTGGCAACATGGAAAGGTTAAGGAACCCTCAGCGCTCTGGGGCGAGCTCTGGACACTTCGGTTGTCTAACATCTGCATCTTCCTCTCCAGGGCCCTGGCGGACATGCTGGAAACTCCGGAGCCCTGACCCAGCCGCCCTCCAACATCTTTCCACAAGCCGTATTTATTTCTCCGAATAAACGCAATCCTCGAAACCTCACTGTCAGGCAGAGTCTCGTTCCCGGGGCACCAGGGAACGCGGGTGGTGACCGGGGACTTGGACTCGTGGATCTGAGTAAGGAAGTCCCGGACTCCCGGGTCCTCGAGGCGGTTGGTTTGCTTACGGTCCTGATAAATAAATCAGTCAACACGGGAGCTTTTTGAAACAGTTCTCTTTACCCGTGATCACTGAGTGACGCCTGAGGCAGGGAGGCCGACCAAGAGTTTGGGGCGAGGGCTCCCCCACCGTCCTCCCTCCCCCACGCCACATCGCCCAGTGGCATCGTGGAAAGAGGATTCTCCCATGCAAACCCCGGAGCCAGAGGGGAACGGGGAGCGCAGTTATGCGCCCCCTACCCCTGGGGCACGGACACGGCCACAGCACGGGGGGCGGAGGGGCCCCGGGGACACGAGACACTGGGGAGAGGGACCCCGCCCACAGCTGACCCCCGTGGGCGACTAGAGGGCGGGGCGGGGCTGAGTGGCACAGGGGCGAGGCTTGTAGCAGCGAGTCCCCCCTCCCCTCCTTTCGGACGAAGAAGGAAGACTTGGGCCCCGCGACGGGGGAGAAAGGGGAGGGGGCAGCCTCTCCTCGCATGCGGCCCGGGAGGGAAACCCCGCCTCCTGCCCGCGGGGAATGGGCACTCGTCTCCCACCGGAAACTGAACAATAAATTACAAAGTAGAGAAAAGGGAGGTGGAAGTTTGGGGCGGGATTTCTTCCTGCCCTCTTCTTTCCCCCTCTCGGTCCAGTTCATGTGGTTTGGTCCAGGCCCAGTCCATTTGTGAGGCGGGGACGCGCGCTCCCCTCTAGTCTGTGCAGATGGTCCAGTCCGCGGGACGAGCTCCGGGGCCGCGCTCCCGGGCCGGACCACACTCTGGGCTGGAAGGGAAACAGCCCAGCCTCTGGAAGATTCTTCCATCCGAGTGAGGTCACCTACATTGACGCCGGGCAGTACGTGGAGCAGTGAAGATCCATTGTGCCGCCCCAAACCCCCAAGATCGCCCAGTACAATCCTCACCTGGAGGCCTGCACTAGCAGGAATAGGTCCGGACCGAAACGCCGTCTGCCCGGGAATTCCCCGAAGTCTGGCCTGGAGGGAAAGCGAGCAGCGGTTCAGCCTGGAGCAAGCAGCGGCTCAGCGCGCACACACGCCCAGTCCTCCCTGGGGCTTCTCCTAGCCTCAACCCCAAGCTTCCTTCCTCGGAATTCTCCTTCCGAAATGACAACGACCGCCTAATCTTCGCCGGTTTCCTTCCCTTTCCCCGCAGCACTGGATTCACCCAAGGTGCCCCAGGTGACTCTAAGCGAGCTCATTTCCCGCCCAGGAAAGGAGGTGCAAGATTAATCCATTTCACACCCGGAGGACAGAGTTGGCATACTGGAGCGGCCCATTTGCCAAGAGTGGGGGAGAATAGGCTAGGCCATTTCAGAACCTGGAGGGGGAGGCTTCTGGAAGGTTGAACTGGTCCTTTTCCCACCCCGAAGAAGAAGGGAGGAAGGATTGCCGCTTTGTGGAGCCGCCCACCTTCCGATTGCAGCTTGCGAAGAGGGAGCCCCGGCGAGCCCAGAGCCCCTGCTGCGGCCGAGCGAAAGTTGGGGGGCAACATCTCAGCTGAGTCGGGGGTTACACCTCGGAGGTCCTTCTCTCGAAACATCTTCCTCCAGGAAGGAGAGCGGCTGAAGGACTTGGCGCTGTCCTACGTACAAGGGCCGAGCATCCAGTGTGGGCCCAGGGTCTGGTTTGGACTCCGCCCCTTCCTTTGACTCCACCCCTCTCCGTATGGCAAAGCTTCTTCAAACTCTCCCCTATCCTGGCCCCGCCTCCAACCACGACTCTTGGCCAAGTCAAGGCCGACCCCTTCAGTTTGGACTCTGAAGGTGCTGAGGAGCCGAGCCTCCTGAGCTGCTGCTGCGCCCACCTCGTCCAGCCGCCTGTCTGTGCCCAAGGAGATGAGGTTACTGAATTCCTTTTCCAGGAGCTGCCGAGCCTGGGGAAGGGAGGTGGGAGAGGAGTTGTAGCTTGCAGACTGCGAGGTGGGGATACCCAGTACGATCCGGGCCAAGCGGCAGCTTACCTGTGCATTCTGCGTGGGGATCTGCAGGAGCAAGGCCAGGTCGGAGTAGTCAAAGGTCTCGTCGAGGGCCAGTAGTGCCCCGTGCACCCCGCTCTCCGTGAGGTTAGTGGCAAATTCCTTCAGTCCCAGTCCGGACACCCAACCCATGACCCGCTCATTGGACCACACCATCACATCTAGGGACCAAAGGGACCTTCAGTTGCAGGACCGTTCAATTCAGCCCATACCTTCACTCCCATTTCCTCTTTCCTGGCCGCGCCCCTTATACTGGCTCCACCCCATGGTTTATGGTAGTGCTCTTCTTCCTTGGCCTCCCCTCTTCTAATCACCCTTTCTCCAGCCCAGCCCCAAACCTCTCCATCTGGCCCCCAGAGGGACTCACACTCTTCTACTCACCTCGGATCTGGGTCTGACTTTCTTCCCGCCTCCGCTCCAAGTCTTTCCGGTCATAGTTGAGCCGTTTCAGGCACATGATCCCATAATGCAGACTCACCCTGAGCAGCAGGGGAAGTGGAGTCACAGAGGAGCCTTCACAACCCCAGTGACTGCTGCTCCAATCTGGCCCTCCCCATTGACTGTGGTCTTCTGGGAGAGGTCAGAGAGTTGTTCCATTGGGTCAGTTCTAGTGATTGCTGACCTTCTCAAAGTTGGGGTATTTTCAACAGGCAGTTCCTACTGGCAAACCTGGAAGGGGTGTGGAGTCAACTAGCCAACCTGTCTCAGGATTTGGACTTTTCCTAGTGGACCATCCTATTGATGTAAGGGGCACAAGAGTCGATCTCCTGAGAATCCAGGCTACAGGGCCAAAGATAATCCAAAGAATTTCCCATCACCAGCCCCATTGGCCAAAGACTGTGTAAGGGTGTGGCTTCCCCTTGGACTGTCCCCATTCGCCAGGCAGCCCCCACCTGTGGAAGCTGTCCACCATCTTGAGTTGGCCCCGGAGCTCCTTCTTGTTAAGATGATCTAACATGCGGGCATCCACCAGCGATTCCATGAAGTAGCTGCGGTATTGGGGCAGCCCCAGGCTGGGCAGCCAGTCGTTCCCCACCCACTCGTGGTTCATGTCGCCATATGCCAGGATCTGGGGCCATGGGCAGGTGGGGGAAGGGTCAGGCCCTCTGACCTCTTCCCATGTATGTATGAAAGAGTACAGTCTAACCCCCAACCCAAGGTTGTTCTGTTCCCACCCCATGGCAGGACAATGGCCAATCTCTGTTCAGGACAAGGGACCAATCCAAAGTTGTCTCCTGCTCCTTCATAATGACGGAACAGATCCTTGTCTACTCAAAGTGTGATCCTTGGACCCACAGTATCACTATCACCTGTGAATTTGATGGAATTGCAGAATCACAGACCCCAAGCTAGTGAATCAGAATCTGCATTCTCACAAAATCCTCAAGTGACATGAACTGTACATTCAAGTTTGAGAAGCACTGTCTAGCATTGTCCCAACTCAGAACAGCAGATCAGCCCAACATCACTACTCCCCCAAGTCAAGACAATGGATTCATCCAACATAGCTCTCCCCACAACAGAGTAATGGATCCATCCATCACCCTTGCACACTGTCTGGAAAACACTGGTTTAATGGTGTACCTGGCCCAGGACAATATTCTGATCAGCCCAAAGTCCCTCACTGACTTTAACGTAAGGAAATAATCCATATCTCCCTGGACCGGAAACAGAACCCAGGCCAACACAGTTCTTCCACCTCAGGTGAGTTCATGCCTCCCTCTTCTTGAGAACAAAGTAGAGCTCCTCCTCCTCAGCTTCTCAACCTGATGTGCTACCCCCTCCCCAAATGCTTTCCCCTCACAACCCCTGCAGGCCCCCGCAACCCACCCTAATGGAATGGCCCGTGCACCACCCTAACAGCTAACAATGGAACCACCGGGCTTCTTCACAGACCCACATCAAGCCACAGTGACACAGTCCAGAGCTGAGCTCCGCACAGCGCCCCGCCCCCATGATGATGATGGACTGTTCCAGCAAGGGTAGGGGCTCAGAGAAGAAGGGGTTTCCATGCAGCGTGCACAGCCTGTTCATGCGCCCACGTCCCGCCCCGCCCCCCCTACCTGCTCCCAGCTGATCTCCTTGGTCTCCTGACCCGTTAGTGGGAAGAGGGGAGAGAAGGAGTGGGTTAAGGGGCAGGCGAAGGAGGGCGGGAGGAACAGACTGACAGACAGCCACGGACTCGCCCCTGCCCCGCCCCTCCTCAAAGAGAGTTAATGCCACCCCCAAGGCCACCGGCAGGGGGCACTCACAGGCTTTGTCGTGGCCGTAAGGGACTCCATCTCCTCGTGTGTCATCCACACATTTCCTGTGGACTGAGAAGCCAGAGGGTGTCATGGAGGGTGAGAGAGGGCTTCCAGATAGGGGAAGGGAGGGGATCGTGCCCCTGGAGGCTCAGATCAAGTACATTTTTACACAATCTACTTTCTGGCCCAGAAAGACCAGTCACTGCTTGAGCAAGAGAATGACAGAGAAAATAAATGATCGTTTATTGAGCACCTGCTGTGTACCAGAACTTGGGCTTTGGGGTTGCACAAATTCAGGTTTCAATTGGGGGCCTGCTGAGCATTTTGCCGTGTGGCCCTGTGCCAATGACATCACCTCTCTTACTTCACACAAATGTAGAGAAAGGATTCAGACTGAGGTGGCAGGTACAGCAATGGGACAAATGTTTGGGGAAGGAGGACGTGTATTCACATTTATTGAGAACCTGCTCCCAACAACCCCAGGAATTAGGGATTCATACATGGATTCAAACATTTATGCCCTGGCCGGTCTGGTTCAGTTGGTTGGATGTCATCCCACGCACCAGAAGTTTGCCGGTTTGATTCTCAGTCAGAGCATATGTCCGGGTTTCGGAAGCTCCATACCCGGTAGGAGGCGTGTAGGAGTCCGCTGATCATGCCTGGATCTCGAATCAATATCTCTCTCTCTCTCTCTCTCTCTCTCTCTCTCTCTCTCTCTCCCTCTCTAAAAATCAATTTTTAATATATATTTTTTAAAAATAGAGCAATGTGCCCGGCCGGTGTGGCTCAGTGGTTGAGCATCCACCCATGCACCAAGAGGTCACCAGTTTGATTCCCAGTCAGGGCACATGCCCAGGTTGTGAGCTCAATCCCCAGTGGGGGGCATGCAGGAGGCAGCCAATCGATGTTCTCTCTCATTGATGTTTCTATCTCTCTCGCTCCCTCTCCCTTCTTCTCTCTCTAAAATCAATAAAGAAAAAAAAATTAAAAACATTTATATGGTGCCTCCTGAGTGCCAGACACAGCTGTAGAGTCTGGGATATGCAAGGGGAAATTTGAGTATAGACTGAATAGTAGATGAAATTAACAATAACGTTAATGTTCTTAGGTATGATAAGGGCATAGTGACTATGTAGGGAAAAGTTCTTATTTTTAGAAGATTCCCACTGAAGTAATTTTTCAGGTTAACTTGTTATGATGTCCACAAACTATATTCAAGTACTTCAGTTACACACATGCACCACGTGTAAAGAGCAAGTGTGGCAAGGGGTTAACAACTGCTGAATTGGGCATGGTACATATAATTTTCTGTATGGAATGAAAGGATAAAGTATTAGAAGGTAGTAAATGCTATGGAGAAAAATTAGGTATTAATGTCCTGGGCTGATGGGCAGGTGACTAGTTTAGCTGTTGAGTTAGGGAGGCCTCTTGGAGGTGGTGACTCTGGAGCTGAGACCTCAAGGATGACAAGGAGCCAGCCTTGAGAAAACGCGGAAGGGCGCTCCAAGTAAAAGGAGCAGTTAGTGCCAAGGGGCGGAGTCAAGGAAGGGGGGGCAGGGGCCCCTCATCAAGGGCCTTACAGGGGAACCATATGAATTTGGATTTTTCTCCAGGATGGTTTAAGACAGACTGAGGGTTAGGGGTGCAGGGGGGACAGGGAGACTTGAGGGAAGACTCCTCCCCAGAGATAATCCAGAAGGCATATGGGGAGTAGGTCTATGGGAAGGAGCTGGAGTAAGCAGGCCGGCGGATTGGCTAGTCTGCGGACAAGAGGCGGGGCCTTGAGGCGGCAAGGGCTGGGATTGGCCACTGGACACTTACCGTGCGGGAGGAGGCGGGGGCAGAGGGTGAGGTGAGTGAGACCATCTCCTGGATGGCGAGGCGCAGCTTGAGCCGGTGCAGCGGGTTGCTGATGCCGATCTCGCGCTGAATCTCCGTGTCTGACAAGTTGGCCATGATGGCACCACTCTTGACATTGGCCCGGCAGGCGGCCACATACCACGCAGGCATGCCTACCCACAGCTGGACCAGTGAAGGGAGGGGAAGAAAGAGAGAGACAGAGGCAGAGGGGAGACAGAAAAGTATAAGAGGAGAAACGGGCGAGATGGGGGAGAGACAGAAAGAAAGGGAGAGAAGGAGACAGAGACATGGGAGAAGAACAATAAGACACAGAAGTTTGCAGTGGGAAGAAACAGAGCAAATCAAAGGGACATGAGAGTCAGAAGAGACACAGGGGGACAAAGGAGGAGAATCAGAGAAAGATAATGCCAGAGTCAAAAGGGAAAGAAGGGAATGGAGAGAGAGAGAGATCAGGAGAGACATACAGAGTTGGGGAGAGAAAGGAGCAAAGTCATTGGGAGACAGACATGGGAAGAAATATAGGCAATGACAAAAAAAAAAACACAAACAGATGAAGTGAGAGACAGAAAAATAGACAAAGGATCCCAGAAAGAAAGCAAGACATAGGGGAAGACATAGAGAAGCAACAGGAGACCAGGACCAAGACGGGCATGGCCAGAGGGGCGGGGGTTGGGGGAAGAAGGCGAAAGAAAGAATAACAAGGAGATCAATAGGAAGCCTGACCCTCCCAGGGTCCCACCTCCACCCCTACCCCACCCCCACATCTGGGCTCAGAGGATAGTGCTCAGTCGACCCAGCCAGCCCTAATGGTGAGGCTGTCACAGGGGTTGAAGATCAAGAATCAGGGCATTTCTGGGCCCCAGTACCTCCAGCCAGGAGACCACGGTGGGGCCATCCCAGGCGGCGAAGGGCAGGCCCTGGCGGCAGGCCTCTTCCAGAAGTTCATGCCTGGGAGGAGGAGGCCAGGACAGGAGCTCTCAGGGGTACAGACACCCAGCCCTACTGGATGGCCCCCTTCACCACAACCCCCTCTCAAAACACTTCTAATGAATGTAGAAAACATGGCAGAACGTTAAAATCAAACGCGTGTGAATCTTTGTAAGCCCTCCCCCCTCTCCCCACTCCCACACTCACTTCCTCTTGTTCCTTCGGTCCTTGTCTCCTGGGCCTGTCAGCTTGGCTAGCCCCAGAGGGTCAGTGGCCAACATCTCATCTGAGGGTGTTCCAGCTGGAGGCAGGGAAGGGCCAAAATTTGGAGTCTCAGGAGGGAAGCAGAATCTTTCATGCTGGGGGTGGTGAGAAGGAAGCCAGGAAAGCAGAAGGCCCAAGGGAATAGTAAATGAGGCCACAGAGAGGGAGTGATAAAGCCAGACAGGAACCAATGTCACCTGCCAGGCAATAAATTGGAGACATCCCAAAAAATAGGGGATTCATTGCCTTGTCAAAATAGCAGGAGTGTGTTGGTAAATGTTTAACTGGCTCCCTGAGGAGGAAGGAGATATCCCTTGATTTGTAGCACTTGCCAATTTCCATGGTGTAAATAATCCCACTATGCCAATTTCAAGCTACCAATGTGATGTCAAGCAATTCACAAAATCACTGAAAATGTAACTGTTGGCTCTCAGAAGCCAGTACAAGCAGGCTCCGGCTCACCAGGTGCTCTGCCTGTCGGATGCTTCTCCTTACATGGTAAATGAAATAACAAATTGACTCAGCCCTCCACTCACCCAGGCAGGCCACAGAGGACTCTTTCCTAGTCCCTCCTCCTCCCCTCTTCCTCTGCCAACTCCTGTCCTTCCACATTGTAAGTGAATTACCAAATCAATAAGGACATGAGTAAATGTCAAGTGAATCTATAAAGAAGAAGGGAAGAAGGGAGGGAAGAATGGAGGGAGGGAGAAGTGGAATCGGGGTACTCACCCAGAGAAGAGCTGTCTCGTCCTGGTGGTCCCATTCGCCCCTTCTCCTTCTTGCCAAAGAGACGGCCTATGGATGACTTGATGCTCTTCTTCTTGGGGGCTTTGTGCAGGGAATCTGGGGTGCCCTCACTGGATGGGCAAGACAGAGTGAGAGCAGACCCCATCTAGGATGCCTCCTTTTATCCCCAGTCATTGTCCACTTCCATTTATGCTCCCATCCCTGTCCCATCTCTTGTCCCTACTGACCTTCCCCGTGAGGGCCCCCCATCTTCCAGGGATCCTGCCTGCAGTGCCAAGGCTTGGGTCATTCTCTCAAGGCGGGCAGAGCGGGGAGTGGGGGGTGGGGTGTCTCCTGGGATGGCTGGCCCCTCCCCTCGTGGAGCCCCAGCTTCCTCCTTGGGGACATGATTCTGGAGACAGAGAGGTAGAGAGACTGGATTAAGTTGGAGGAATCATGTCGGGGGCTCCTCATTAGTTGGGATGTCTCCTAGGGGGTGTCTGAGATGCCCCTGGTTTGGGGTAGCCTAGATTAAGTGGGGTACATTGTAGAAGCATAAGGCCAATGATTGCAGACCCACTGGAGTTTGACAAGCCCCTATTTATAGTTTCATAGCTTGTGGTGTCAGAAGTGGGATCGGTATGGCCTCGAGGAAAGCTACCAGGTTACAGGTTCTGAGAGCTTGGGTTTAAGGCAATAAAATAAGATGAATATCTCTTATGCACCCCTTAAAGGTCAATTCTGAGGGTATAATGGTAGTTCTCAAATGTATGGTTAGTCACAGAAACATTTTTTAAAACCCTTTGCAGAAACTTAATGCAGAAAACTGGTGAAGGTAGACCAGATCTAACTAAAGTACAAGTGAGGGTTCAGGAACTCAGGGACTCAGACTTCCCTTTGCCCTTTGAATCGGAACTTTTAAGGCAAGCTAAGGTTGCTCTTGAAAACCACTGGTGTGAGGAATTATTGTTGCTGTCTGTTGGGGAGTCCTGTTTCTGACCTCCTACCCACCCCACCAAGCTAAGGGGACTTCAGAAGACTTACAGCTTTGTCGGTGCCCTCACGAGCAGGACTAGGGGGTGCCAGACGGGGTGTTGAGTGACCGGAGCTGGGAGGGGAAGGGCTGGCAAGGGTAGAGGTGGTGAGAGAGGGGGGCAAGGAGCAGCTACTGCGGTAGCGGCCTAGTGAGTCCAGGCCAGAACCAGATACCCGGCTCTCCAGCTCTTCTGCCCTTTGTTCTGTTGTCTCCTTCTCCTCTTGGATTAGCCTGAGGAGGGAAAGGCGGAGACTGGTGAGAGGACCGAGGCAGACAACAGGAGAGGGAGTCTGGGGATCCCAACAGGCCAGAAAGCTTGGGGAAGCAAAAAGAATTCTGAAGAAGGCATAATGAGGTTAGAGCGTCTTGGTGGATTCATGATGGCCTCACAGGTTCAAGGAGGATATAAGGGGTCATGATAGGCTCAGTAGGTCATGGAAGAAGGTTGGGATGATGATCAGGGTCTGAACCAGGATGACCCTGATGATAACCAAGTGATTCTGAAAAATCATATCAGGATTTTATGGGCGAGAGGTCAAGTTCCTAGGAGGATGTCAAGAGGAAAGTCATCATAAGTTCAAGATGAGATCTAGGATTCTGAGTTCTACCTAAGATCTGAGAAGGTCTTAGAGTCATTTTGTATGTGAGAGTCGATGACTCAAGTCAGAACAAGTTTGAATGGAAGGTGGTGATAATTTGGTATATTTACTGGGGCCCAGGGTAGGTGTGTTATTAGAGAATGTTAAGGCAGTTGCTGGGGAATTGGTGTTCTTTGTACGATGGGTAATTCTTAATAAATTCAGGATTCTTGTTATATTAGGTAGACGTTCTTGGTATGGAGAATTGTGGTTCTTGGTGTGTTAGAGTGAGGTTCTTGGTGTTTGGGGATGGGGTGCTCATGTTGAGTGGAGAATCTTGGGGTACCAGGAGTCTCTGGGTACTAGTTTTGTGAAGCCATGAAATCCATGGTGTACTGGAGGATTGCTGATGTCCTGGACTGAGAATTTTGGTATTTGGAGCTGTGGTCTTTGTTGTATTGGGAAATTGTGAGTACTGACTGAGGGATATATTTATATCATATAGAAGACTTCTGGGTATATCCTGGGGGATTCTGAATATTGGAGGGAGTGTTGGGCTGGGCAGTTCCTTGAGGGTGGTGGAAAAGGAGGTGGGCTCTGGCCTTCACATCAGACTCCACAGCCAGAGGGGTTGCAGGGCCCGCTCAGCAGAGAATTGCAGCAGGACCGGGCAGTGCTCACTTGATCTCCTTGTTGATGGCTTCCAGCTGCTCCTGGAGCATGATGGCCAGTGTCTGCACATCGGCCTGCCCACTGGGGGACAGCAGCTCAGCCCCAAACATCCCCTCTGCCTCCTCCTCGTCTGAGCCATCCAGTTCCCCAGGGAACGGGGGTGGCATGGACCCTGCAGGGGCAGATCGCTCCCACTCCTGTGTCTGTGTGGAGACAGAGGGACCCCAGGTGGTCAGGGGCCAAGGTTGGCCCTGTGTTGTCCTTCAACTCTCCTGACCTTGCCCGCCCTCGTGACCCGGCCCACTGCCTCTGACACTGACTGCCCTGACCGTGTGATCCAGCTCCTAGATTTTTTTCCAGCCCAGTTCTGTCTCTTGCTAGGTCTCTTTTCTTGACCACCCCACCCTCCTGATGATTCCACCCCCTGCCCTGATTTCCCTGTTTCCTTTGACCCAGCCCACTACTTCCTTCTCTTAACCCCACCCATTCTAAGATTCCACAGCCTACCCATCAGCCCCCAGGCCCCATTCCTCTCCCCACCCCAACATCCCTCTAAGGTTCTTACCAGCCAGCAGAATTTCCATGAAGAGACATCCAAGCAAGTGGGGATTATGGAGTTATGGGAAAAGGAGAGAAGATAGCATGGGTCCCGGAGACCCTGCTTCTCACCCAGCCCTCCTCCAGATCCCCATGCGACAGAATCCATGTTCCACCACTGCTCTCCCAAGCCCTGCTCAGTGCAGTCCCCAGAAGTGGCTGCTGACCTTGGAGGCCTCATCCTTGACCCCTGACCAGCGGTTCCTCTTGCCTACTCGGCCACTGCCAGCCCCATAAGGGTCCAGGTGGGTGCCGGAAGGTAATGTAGGTGCCTGGGAATAACGGAGCTCCAGGGCACTACCAGGGAGAGACCTGTGGGCATGGAGAAGACAGTCAGAGCCCTGGCCGGTGTGGCTCAGTTGGTTGAGTGTCATCCCATGCACCAAGAAGTCGCCAGTTGGATTCCTGATAGGGGCACATGTCAGGGTTTTGGCCTTGATCCTCAGTCAGGGGCATGCAGGAGGCAGCCGATCAGTGTTTCTCTCATAATATATATCAATATATATATAATATATATCCATATATATATAATATATATATCCCCTTCTTCTCTCTCTAAAAATTAAATAAAACACATTAACATATTTTAAAAAGAAGAAGACAGTCATAGACAAAGAGGCCAAAAAAGGGAAACTGACATAAGGGATCATGGGGAAGGGCCCAGGGTCAAGGGAGTAAAAGAGGGATCTAAAGTCAGCAGTCAGGCCCTGGCCAGTTTGGCTCAGCGGTTAGAGCGTCGGCCTGCGGTCCGGAGAGACCCGGGTTCGGTTCCCGCTAAGGGCACGTACTTCGGTTGCAGTTTGTCCCCGGCCCAGGTTGGTCGTGCGGGTGGCAGCCACTCGATGTGTCCCTTCACGTCGATGTTTCTCTCTCTCTCTCCCTTCCTCTCTCTCCCTCCCACTCTATCTGTACAAAAAGTGGAAAAATATCCTCGGGTGAGGATAACAAAAAAAATAAATAAATAAAGTCAGCAGTCAGGAAAAAGGATCTGGGATCAGTGGTCATGAAGTCAGGGGTCAAAAATAAGAGAGATCAGTGGAAGTCTCAGGAAGACAGGCCGTGGGTGTGTGTAAGACCTGGGGATCAGAAAGGATGAGCTTGGCCAACGGGGTCATTGAGTAGAGGTGAGGCCGGAGGGCTACTGTCACCTGGAGTAGGAGGATGGTGGCCTCCCCCGTAGCTGGTCAATCTCCATCTGCATTCGCTCCATCTCTGCCAAGAGCTGCTCCTATGGGGAGGGGATTAGAGGTATCAAGTCAGAATGTGCCCCAAAAAAGGTCCCTCCTAGCTGGTTCCAACCCCAGCAATTTTGCCCTGGTACCCCCCGCCCCCCAGGCCCCTCCCTACTTTGTTGAGCAGCAGTTCATCCTGAAGCTTCTTCATGTTGGCAATCTCCTCACTCAGTGAGTTCTGTGGGGGACAGGGGTGCAGTGAGTGAGGAGCCTGAAAGGGACACACTCTGGGGCCTGAGAGGAGCCAGGGGGAATGAGGTGAGCTGGAGCGCATGGGGGTTGTGGGTCCAAGAATGCCGTGGGGTAGGGGAGTCCCTGGGAGCCCCAGAGAGCCCCAGAATTCCACATCACGTGAAATCAGAGGATTCAGTTTGAGGCCCCATAGGATAAGAAGCTTGGGGAAGAGCCAAGAACTCAGATTATAGGTGCCCCAGAATTCAGCTCCTGGGGTGTTTAGGTGAAAGAGGTCTGTCAGATTCAGGATGCCCAGGTTTAGGGGGATCTCAAATAACAGATCTGAAAGATCTGGGGCCCAGGAATTTGGGCAAGAGGTGGTCCAGGATGCAGGATTATGGGAGTGCCGGCTTGGGGTGCACCTTTTCCTCCAGTGCCCCCATCCGCTCCTTGAGGTGAAGCTGCAACCGTTCATTGGACTCGCTCAGCAGTTTGTCTACTGTTTCAGACAGCCGCTTATTGTGGTCGTCATTCATCTTCTCCCGCTGCCGGGCCTGCCCAAAGGAGAGGGGGCATGGGGTGCTCAAGCCCACCTGGTCCAGAGCGCAGCCCGTGCTCTAAGCTCTCGCCCCTAGCCCACCCTCTCATCTAGGCTCCTCCCCCAGCCTCAAAGCCCCGCCTTCACTGCATTTGTCCATTCACTCACCCGCTGCAGTTCTTGGTTCTTCTCCTCCAACTGGGCTTCCAGCTGCCGAAGCCTCTCCTCAAAGTTCCCATGACGTTCCTCAGCCTAGGGGATGGAACCCATGTCATCTGACTTTGCCCCACTAGGACACAGCCAGGCTCCAGTCCCGCCTTCTCCAAGACGGGCGCCAGGTCTGGCCCCCAGAGCTCCAGGCTCCGCCCTCGCAGGACTCCAGACCCTGCGCCAGTGATTCAGGCCCTGCCCCAGGTCTACAGGCCCCGTTCCTTCCTCGGTTCATGTTCCAGCCCCCCCGTCCTTTCAGTCCAAACTAGAGAACCGCCCCCCCCAAACCTCCACCTCGTGCCTGCATTCCCAGTCTCAACCCTCCCCTAGATGCCAGGCCCCACTTTTCCACCCAGAATCCTGGCTGCAGGTCTCCTACCCTCCAGACTCCAGGCCCCGCCTCCTCCCCCAGAGACTCAAGGCCGGGTCCCAGGCCTCCCCTCACTTTATTGAGCGCGGCCACGCGCTGGGCCAGCTGCGCCTCTATCTCGGGCAAGGTCTCTGCCTTCTGCAGCGTCTGCTGCAGCTTCTGCTTGGCGTCGTCCAGCCACTCGGCCAGCTGGCGGCTCTTCTCTTCGCTCTAGGGGGTAGCACAGAGACGGGGAGGAGGGGAGGAGCTAGGTCACGCAGGCCACGACCGTGTCCCCATACCCCCTCCCCGGCCGCGCCCCCACCTGCCGGTACAGCGACTCTTTGCTGGCCAACTCGTTCTCCAGCTTATCGTTGGCGTCGTGCAGAGACGTGGCCTCGCGCTGGGCACTCAGGTAGCGCTTCTCCAGCGTCGTGATCCGCTCCTCCATATCCTCCCGCTGCGCCAAAGCCTGCAGAGGTGGCAAAGGGCCGCGTGGACTACAGCTCCCAAAAGGCCCTGGGGGTAGCCTAGGCTTAGAACCCCAAATCAGGCACCTCAAGGTATCCTGGAAAATGAAGTCCCCTGACATCCGGGCGTCAGAATGGTGGAACCAAACCTGCCAAGAGCTTTCAGGAATAACTAATGTTAGGTCCTCTGCCACTGGAGAGTTAAAATGGTGGTGCCACACTTTCCCTGAGATTCTAGGGCAGCACTGGCTTAGATCCTCCCCATATAGATGGACCTAATGCTCAGGGGATGGGAAGTCTCCTCCACTCTTCTTGGACCACTTGCCTCAAAAATCCAGGACTTAGATGTTTTAGCAACTCTAGCACAGCCCAGCTTAGAATCACAGAGCAAGTGCCCTAGGGTTTCCCTGGAAGCAAACATCCCTTCCATCTGGGAGGCAACATCTCCCAAGGTCCCCCAGGGCAGCACAGGCTCAGAACCCCAGAAAAGGTGTTCCAGGGTCTAATGGGAGACAGACTTCTGTGTGGGACCCTTGTGGTAGTAGATCACATTTCCCAACAGGACCCAGAGCCTTCAAGAATCCATGCCTACACTTCCCAGCAGACCCTGGGGCCTGGGAGTTAGGATCAAGGGGTCTAAGCCAGGATGGGGTAAAATGTAGACAAAAGAATTCAATTTAGAGGCACAAGAAAGTGTCCAAGTGATAACATAACTATGACCAGTTACTGAGAGCCTACTGTGTATATGTCACAGGCCAAACCTCTGACAAAGTTATTAGTCCCATTTTACAGGTGAGGAAACTGAGGCTTAGAGAGGAAGAGAATCTACACAGTTTGTGAACTGAATTCAGGTTCCACCATTCATGATCTCTGTGACTTTGGGCAAGGGGAGATGAAGAGGGCTAGGGAGAGGGGAGGGACAGAGGGCAACCCACCAGGGGCTCCGGCCTCACCTCCTTGAGGTCGCGCTGGAGCTTGGCGTTAGCTTCCTCGGCCTTACCCAGCTCGCGGTGGGCGGTGCCCAGCTCCTCCTCCAGCTGGCTCATCTGGCGGCACAACACCGCCAGGCGCTCCCGCAGCTGGCACACCTCAGCTCGCTGCCGCTCCAGGGCCTCCTCCAGCTCAGCTGTGCGCCGGTTGGAATCCCCGCCAGGACCAAGGCCATTGGTAAGGGTCTGGAGTGGGGACAGTGGGGAAGGAAGGAAGGTACAGAACCCGGAGTGGGAAACAGAGATAGAAAGAGAATGCAAGGAGCCCTGGCTGGTTTGGCTAAGCTGTTGGAGTGTCCGCCCATGGACCAAAGGGTCGCAGGCTCATTCTGGTCAGGGGCACTGCCTCAGTTGCGGTTCGGTCCCTGGCCTTGGTAGGGGTCATGTGGGAGGCAGCCAATCGATGTGTCTCTCTCATATCAATGTTTCTCTCTCTCTCTCTCTTTCTCCACCCCCCCCCCCCCAGTCTATCTGAAGGTAGATGGAAAAATGCCCTCGGGTGAGGATTTTAAAAATAAAAAATAAGAGAATGCAAGGAGAAAGTTGATGGGGATGGGGGTGGGGTGAGTGAATCAAAGATCAGTAAGGATCGGATCATGGAGGTCAGGGTACTTAGCTATGTGACCTGGATCAGGTCTTAGGACTTCAGATGTCCCAGGGTCAGTGAGAATCATATCAAACATTAAAAGGACCATCACAAAGTCAGAGGACAGAGCGGAGGTCATAGGGATGAGGACCAGTGAAGAGCAAGGGGAACAAAGGACTTCCACCTCTTACCTGCCCATCCCCATCCTTGCCGGGCTCCTCCAGGCCTGACCGGCGCCTAGACAGCTGTTCTCGGAGGTTCAGAGTCTGGGAATTTGAAAGGGAAATCAGGGCAAAAGAAAAATTAGCCCTTTCCCACTGGCACCAGCCCTCTAAGGAGAGGTCATAGGTGCCTCTGGTCCTGCTGGGCTACTCTTAGACCCTGTGCTCTGGTTATATCTCTCCTTAGCTGCTCATAGGGAGGGAGTCCAGTCTTACTCTTGTCCTCTTTAGCTCTGACTTTTCCCATCCAAACATTCCTCCGGAGTGTGGGAGTGCGTTCTTCCTGCTAGCTCCAGCCCCTAGTTCTCACCTTAGTCTCACTTTCACTAGGCAGTTCTCCTCGCAGCCCTTAGGAACCCCACTGGTTCTCTCCATAGTCCCACCCCATTGGTCCCCTGCTCTAGTCCTGCCCCCAACAGACTCCGAACCCAGAATCAGCCCCACCCCATTGGGAGCTCCTTAATAGCACCCTCCCCTTCTTGGTCCCACCTCCTGGTTGCTCATCTCCAGCTCCTCCTCTAGCACAGCCACCCGCTCCAGCGCCATCCGCAGCCGCTCCCGGACCTGGGGATGGGGCAGGACAAGAGCGAGATGGAGATCAGATCCAATCTAGGACAGTTGTCCATGATGCAGAACAGCCCTGGAACAGGCCTGATAGGGCAACGTTAGAATCCCTCTATCTATAATGGATGTGCAGCCTCAATCCACTACCAAAGCAACCCCAGCCACTGGTAGCCTCGTCCTAGTTCATTTTTCCAGTATCAACCGGTCAGGTCTCAATGTGCATGGCCAGTCAATCAGAGTCAACTTCTTTTTTTCCCACTTAGGACATCCCCAACCAATCACAGCCAGAATTTCTCTAATTCAGGACAGCCTCAACCACCTCCAGATTTCCCTTCCACACCCAGGATTTTTCTTTCTCATACCTTCTCATCCAGGGCCTTGTGGTGCTCGAAGAGGGATTTTAGAGCCTTGAGCACCTCCACCTCGGAAGAGACCCCGCCCGGGGACTGGGCCTGGCGCTTCACCACCGTCATGCGCAGTGACCTCTCGTGCCTGGACACCAGGCACTCCAGATGTTCCAGTAGAAGCTGCGGGGATAAGGCACCGGGCCAAAGAGACAAGGGAAGAGAGGCAGGGTAGAGGGGAAATGTGGTTCAGACACATGGAAAAAGAGGTGGCGCCAAGCAAATTGGTAAGGAACATGACAGATCAGGAAAAGAGGGAGGGATATCCGAGGTAGGGGCGGGGTCAAGGACGGAGAGGATCAGGAATAGAGACCGTTATGAAGATAGAGGAGTGTCACCAGCCAAGAAGTGGGAGCAGGAAGAAGACAGGGAGGTGAGGTGGGGAAAAAAGATGGGTCAGGCAGCAACTCCGCGAGGCCCCGCCCACACCACTTAGGCTCCGCCCCGAACACCCCTCACCCGCGTGTTGTTCCGCTCCGCCTTCAGCTCTGCGATCTCTTCCTCCCGTTCCAGCAGCTGCTCCCGACATAAGTTCAGCTCCTTCGTCAGAGCTGCAAACTCCTGTCCAGATATGGGAAAGATCGGGACAAATTCGACCAATCCTTTCCCCATCTCCCTCATGGAACAGGACTGAGAGTTGGAAGGCCCCGCCCTCCCCGCTAAGCTCCGCCCCCACGGACGGCTCTGGTCACACCCATCGCCGGTGAAGCCAGCCCCCTGACTCCTCCCTTCCAAGCGCCAAGTCCCGCCCCCTCCGGACCGCCCTCTCCACGCCTCCACTGTTCGAGGCCCCGCCCTGGCCCCGCCCAGACCTGGGGCAGCGCGATGCTGAGCTGTCGCTGCAGCGAATCCTTCTCGTGTCCCAGCTCGCGCAGCCGCAGCTGCGCCGTAGCCAGTCCGTCCTGCGCCTCGCGCAACGTCTCCAGCAGGCGCTCGCGCTCCGTGAGCATCGTGACCATGAGGCGCTCCAGCTCGCCGCCCGCTTCGTCCGGGCCCAGCGCCGAGCCCCGCCGGCCATCCTCGCTGATGGTGGGCATCACCTCGCACATCATGGCGGCGGTGCTGGCCTGCAGGTGCAGGGAAGGGGAAGGGAACAGAGACCGGCCTCGTCAAGGCACAGGCAGAGAAACGGAGACATGGCCACCCTGATACTACATAGAGGAAGCTGAGGCAGAGCCACCCAGGCATTGCACAGAAGAAACTGAGGTCTGTTCCTGCTGGTCATGGCATAGGCTAAACTGAAACCCACTGCTCTCAGGAAACCAATACTCGCTACCTGGGTGAGAGCATTCGGGAAAACCGAGGTCAGACTCCATCAGGCAATGGCAGCAAATCTAGGCTCAGCCTCGTCCACGAAACTGAAGCTGGATGACCCAGGCACTGCCTGACTGAATGTGGAAAAATCAGTCTCTACTTCTTCTGGCCCTGCTAAGACTCCCCCTCTACCCACTCCATCAGTGAGAAAACAGCCCCAGCTGAGAAGCATGACTTCAGGAAGACACAAGACTAGGGGTCACAGAATTAGGTCACTGGGACATGGTTAGCTACTATCCAGTTCAACTCCCCCCCTTCTTCAATTTCGCATATGGACCTCAACTCCAGAAGAATCTAAAGACCCACTCCACTTGGTGGGGTGGGGTGAGGGGAGTCATGGAGGAAGTTGGGGTAGGCTAATCATATCCCATAACCCATGTGTCCCAAGATCCAGCTCCCTCCTTCCTCAGATCACAAGAGTCTAGGTCCTGGATTTCTTTCCTCAAGACTCAGGAGTCTGGGCCTCCAGCTCCCTCCTTCCTGAGTCGGACACAACACCCCCTCATCCCCTGGGACATGAATCTGGGCTTTAAACCTCCAACCTTAAACTCAGAAAGCCCAGCCTTCAGACTCCTCCTCCTTCAGAACCAAACAGTCCAGGCCCCAGGACCCAAGAGTTCAGGTGCACAAGCTGTGGGTGGAGATGAATCGAGTTCTCCTGAGCCACTCCCTCGAACACATCAGGTCAGACAGGTCCAGCTGGCCCAGCAGAAAGCAGGAGGGGCTTTCATTCCATCCCCCCCTTTCCTTCTCTCCCTTCCGGCAGTGGCATAACCGGTCTGAGAGTAGATAATTCCCAGCCCCACCCAATTTTCGGACTGTGTCCAAAGCCTGGGACTGGAGCCTGGACTCCTGTGAGGAGAGGAGGAAACTGAGAGCCGTGGGACCTGGGGGGGGGGGGCAGCTGGATCCCTTGGGCTTTTGAACAGGTGCATCTGAGAATCTAGACACCTGAATCCCAGCACTCAGAGGCTACATTAAGGAATATGTTTATAGGGGGGAAGGCCAGCCTTGGACCCAAAACCAGTGTGGTATCTAAAACCCAGAACCTACTCAGGAGATGTAACACAAGATGCTTTAGGGAAGCTGTTCCAGAACTTCAAATTCACTGAGAAGGAAACAAAACACAGCAAGGCTGGGCAAAAATCTAGAAAGCCATTGGCATGTAGACACGGTACAGAGTGCAAAAAGGACAAATGCTTCCACATTTACAATGTGAGTTCGGTAAGAGCTGCATGTGAAGCATATTCTAGAGGCCTGGTCTGGAACTTTGAACCAGCCAAGAGCAATCAATAACTTAAAGAGCAACTGGGTGACCTCAGAATGATATCTAAGAATATACCAAATGCAATGCACAACAAACCTAGTCAGGAGACATAATCTAGAACTCAAAACCTACCAGGGATGAGGGTATAACACAGGGTATAACAAGGGTTACAATCTTGGTTTTATCATGTGTCTAGATAATGCTAGAACTCAGAATAAAAAAGATATGCTCTAGAATTCAGAAGATGCCCTGGAGGTGAAGAAAAACCTAGAAAGTAGCAAGGTGTTTGCCTGGAACTTAGTCGTGCCTGGGGGAAGATGTAGAAGGATGCATGCTGGGAATTGAGAATTTACTTGCAGAAGGCCTGCAAGTAAAAGCTGGCAAAGGCAAGATAGGGTGTTTTGGAAATGAGGACATTTTTAGGCTGAAGGCTCCAGAAGAGGGGAGAGCCTAGAGCATGATTAGAATGTGAAGTGGCAGAGAAAGGAGGAAGCCCACAATCCACCAAGAGACGGTTATAAACTAACATCACACTAAGGAAAAGGTGGACAGAGAAGATGGGAATGGATAAGCGTAGAACCCAAGGAAAGAAGATGTAAGGTAGAACACTTCAGTGGGAATCCTCTAGCTTTAAGACTGTAGAACTGAATGGAACCATTTTAGAATTGATGGCACAATTCAGAGATAGACTAGAGCACATAATTGGAAGACACACATTCTAGAACTTAGAATGCCCCTGGGAAGAGAATGAAAAGCAGAACAATGCCAAGGATGCGGCCGGAACCTAGAACACACCTAAAATGAAATTTTAGCAGAGAATAAGCAAGGACTGATTTCTAAATATTTGGAACATGTCTGAGGAGATGGTAGGATCAGAAATTGGCTTGAGGCGATAATCTAGATATTTGTATTAATCTGGGGAAAAGACATGGCTAAAATTTAGCATCTAGCCTAGAACTTAGAACATGCCTTGGGTGAAGATGGAACAGAGATGTTGACTGGGAGTGTTCTGGTATCTAGAAGGAATCCAGAATGTGGAGCATTGCAAGGGCAGTGTTTAACCAGAAATGTGGAAGACAGTAAATAGGTTCTAGATTATCTAATGAGCCTAGGTCACAGAACACATTTGGAGGAATGCATGCATGTTTGGCTCACAGCCTGAAAGTGTAGTCAGAGGATGGGACATCACGATATGAACCTAAGAAGGCAATGGGGTGCTGGAAATATCTCAAGAAGCTTGGTCTCAGGGGAGAGAATAGAATCTCAGGGAGCCCAGCAGCTGAGATGAAATGGGGATGAGGCAGGAGTTTGTCAGGACCACTGGGAGATGACAAGTTGATAGGGAGATCACGAGGCCGTGGGACCTGAATCCCTAAGAGTAAGAAATGAGAAGCTATAAAGGAGGGTAGAGCTGGGGGCCTGGACTCCTGAATCCTTTTGGTGGTAAAGGGCAGGGGTTTGGGAGGGAGGGCTGGAGCAAACAGCCTCAGTATAGGCTGGTGGCCAGTGCAGAAGCTAGGATCTGAGTGCCTGGGTCCCTGAGGAGATGCAGGGCTGGGGACAAGGCATCTAGGTCTCCGGGGGCGCACAGACGCCAAAGAATTGCATTCACAATTGCATTATGAGTCCCTGAAAGGGAGAGAGTCATGGTTCCTGAATCCCTAAGGGGGCAGATGCTGGGGTACTAGGAAACTGGGTATATGTGCCTGAGGAGCACAGGAGCTGTTGAACTGTGTCTAAAGGGAGCAAAGGCTAGGAACCTGGACCCCTGGGTGCCAAGGTCCCTAAGGTGGACGGGGCAGACACATTCAGAAGCCCTGACTCCTGAGAAAGGTCCTGGGGTCCTGGAAACGTGGGGTGCTGAGGACGGGGCTGAAAGCCTGGCCAGCGGAACCCTGAGGCTCGGGCGTCCAGGTCAGGGAGGGCCCGGGTATCCCCGGGTCAAAGGCGCGGCGGGGGGATCCCCGCGCCGTCGGCGCCCCCTCTCTGGCGGCGGCAGCAGGAGGTGGGGGAGGCGAGGCTGCTGAGTGCGCTGACCATGGACAGCTCCAGAGCGGGCCTGAGTCCAGGGCAGCCGCCGAGCCGGCCTGGACTGAGGGACGCGGCCGCTGCCCAAACCGGAGAGCTGGAGATGGGCAGACGGGGTACGCGAATGGGGGACTATGCGGACGCGACGGGGGACGGGCGGCCCTCACTGGGGGAGTGTGACACAGCCGCGGCGGATGTCTGGAGCTCCTGGGACTGGGCCGAGGAGGAGGATCTAGATCCAGAGGGGTTCCCAGGGTTGAACTGAAATCCAGGCTCCTGGGCCCTGGAGGAGGCGCAAGGCGGCAGTACGCCTGGGATTCTAGGGTTCGGTTGGGGACTCTGAGAGTCGGGAGGGGCACGCCTGACTCTCTGGGGTTGGGTTGTGAAATCTGGGCTCTGGGGTCCTCGGGGATGGAGAAGAGAATCCAGGATCACGGAGAGGCGGAGGAAGCTCGGCGAGGGGTCCCCGGGGTGGGCGCTGCCTGGCAGGCCGGGCCGGGCTCTTACCTACCTGGTCCGCGGCGGCTGCGGGCGGAGCTGGGCTGCTGGAGGGACGTGGGGTGGGGTGGGGGGGCCGGGCGGGGCCCCTGGCGGCGGCCGGGGCCCGGATCTGTAGCTCTGGAGCCCTGTCTCCGCCGCTCGCGCGGGCTCCGCGTCTCTTGCTCCGGCTTGGGCGCTGGGGACCCCACTCCCTCTCACAGTCTTACAGCCCTCTACCCCCCAAAATAGCCCCCTAACCCTGTCACCGTTCAGGCTCCCCACGCGAGGCCTCAGCTGCTAGATCCAGGGGTGCCCACCAGCGCCCCCAAAATCCCACCTTCCCCCCAAAAAAATTTCCTCCTCCCTCCCCCCAACAGCTCCCAGGCGGTCGTGGCCCCTTTAACAGGAGACTGACAGACGGCTACGAGTGGCCAATGGGAAGCAGTGTCGGCGCCGGCCGGAGGCTAAACCCCTCCTCCGCACGGACTGGGAGGGGTCGCGCGGGCGGAGTGCGGGAGGCGGGGCTCAAGACCTCTCAGCCAATAGGCATGCGGCGAGAGGCAGCTGGGGCGGGAGGCGGAGCCCGGCAGGGAGATGATGTCACCTGGAGCGAGTGGCGCGCAACGTGGAACGCGAGTCGCGACCCCGGATCCCGGCGGTGGCGCGCGCCGGCCCTGGCGAGGCACCGGCGAGGTGGGGGTACTGATTGTATTTTAAGGTGGGGGCGACTCACGGAGACGCACTTGGTTTGGAAGACGGGGTGAAGGCCGGGTCGGCCAGTATACCTTATTCTGCACGCTCTGCGCCCGCCTGGGAACTGCACGCGGCACCCCGACCCCTGCCTCCCACGCAGGGCTCCCCTGGCGGACGAGGTTAATGGTTCGCTCCGCCCCGCCCACACAGAGGACACCCACTGGCTCCCACAGCTTTTCAGAACTCGGGGTCTGACCGGCTCAGGAGGGTTTGGCCCCCATCCTCAGACTCTCGTAGGGGTGGGGGGCTTTGTCTGCAGGTCCGAGCTCGCACCCAGACCCAGACTGGGTCCCAGCCTCTGCCCTCGGACTTGCCTCTAGGAAGCTGTCCGGCTTCTACTTCAGACCTGGGGGACATTCTGCACCTCTGCTCAGACTCTGAAAAGGGCTTCTTTGGGGCCTGGTCTCAACCTCAGTTTCTCTCCCTCCCCCACATCTCAAGACCCTCTAACCCCAGATGCAGGATAAAAACACACAGACTCTCAATGAGGGTCAAAGATCTTTAAATAAGGAGCCGGGGACAATAAATACTGTACAGGGAGGGGGGTAGCAGGAGGGTCCAGATCTGTGATTTCAGCCTCGGGACTCCAAGGACCTGCAAGGAGGGTGAAGAGAAGGGAGCCGGGCTCAGGGTAAGGGACCTGGGGAGGGATGGGTAAGAAGAGCCAGGGCTGGGGTTCCAGAGCCAGGGCTCAGGGAAGTGGGTCAAGGAATTCCAGGGAGAGTTGGTTCCAGATCTTGGAATGGGAGTCAGCTGAGTCCCCCAGGGTTTTAGGCAGGATGGATTGGGGTGAGAGTCTGGGTCAGGGTCAGCATACCAGGAGAGGAGCCATGGCTGGGGATGGCAATCACAGTTCCAGGGCCCACTGGCCTGGTTTGGGGGTCTAGCGATCAGGGAGAGAGTGGAGGCCCCAGGGGAATGGTGGCAAGGGGCTCACGAGTAGCTCTGGTGCTGCTGGCGCCTGCGGGCAGAGCGCATCTTCTCAAAGCGGGCCTCCATCTCCTCCAGCACACGAGGTGTGTAACGCACCACCAGCTTCACTGAGCCCTGGGCTGCCTTCAGCAGCTCCACGGCCTTCTCATGCTGCTCACCCTCAACGCTCTGCAGAAAAGTGCACAGATAGCTGGGCCTGAGCCAACCCACCCCCTTCGCCTCACCCAGTCCCCACCCTGGAAACAGGGCCAACTGATAGTGACCTGCTACCTGAGGTACCAAAGCCTCACGTCCTCATGGGAGAGTCACTAACTCTTGGCTCAGTGTCCTCCCCCCCAGTTTTCCAGGTTCCCCCTATCAGGGACAAGGCCCAGATGACCTCAGTCACTGAGCCAGACCTTCAGAACCGTCCTTCCCCCTCCTTCTCCAGAGTCAGCTAATTCCCAGCCCCATCCCTCCTGCCCTGGCTCCCTCTGCTTTGTCCCTACCACCCTGGCACCAGCTCAGGCCTCGTCCTGTCCACAGTGGACTCTCACTCTAGTCTTTTTCCTGGCCTTTTGGCCTCAGTCCATCCCCCACAGCATCCCAAAGGGGTCTTTCTATGCCTCCAAGTTGATCCTATCCCTCCCCTACTCATAGCCTTCCCATGGCTCCCCAGCTTCTTAGGCTGGCACTCAGGCCTGACATCAGAGAGGGAGTACTTGAAGGTAAGAGCTGAGGCCATCTTTTCTCAGGCTCTACAGCAGTGCCCAGCACATGGCTGGATATAGAGGCAGTGCTCAGTCAGTGTGTGTTGAATAAATGTCAAAAACAAGGACAGACACCCGGCCAGTGTGGCTCAGGGGTTGAGCATAGATCCATTTTCCAAGAGGTCACCAGTTCGATTCCCAGTCAGGGCACATGCCCAGGTTGCGGGCCAAATCCCCAATGGGGAGCATGCTGGAGGTGGCTGATTGATGTTCTCTCTCATCAATGTTTCTATCTCTCCCTCTCCCTTCCTCTCTCTAAAAATCAATACAGGGAAAAAAAAAATTTTTTTTTTAAAGAGAAGGACAGACTATGACCCCAGCCCTACCTCAGCCTCCCACTCACCACACCATTCACCGACAGCAGCTGGTCCCCACGCTTGAGGCCTCCATGGCGGTCAGCCACACCTCCAGGAATGACACGGGAAATGTAAATGGGCGAGTTCTGCTCCTTGCCCCCCATGATGTTGAAGCCCAGGCCCTCGTCTGTCTTGGGCAGCTCCACTACCCTGGGATGTGCGTGGCCCTCACTGGCAGTGAAGGCAGCAACTGTGGCCTGGGAAAGAGAAAGTATAGGGAGGTGAGGGACCCTCCGTGGTGGGCCAGGGAGAGCTATTGAGGACAGACAGCTTTTCCGGAGCACAAGGTGCTTGCTACAGTTCAAAAGAAGATTGCTCCATAATGACTGCATGTCCCTTTTGGTTCACTTTGGATAGTTCAGACATGTCAAAGAGAAAGTCTCCATTTGGTGTGAATGTATCTTGAATACTCAACACTCGCCAATCTCACTTTGTTTGTTTGTTTGTTTGTTTGTGGTACATGCCCCTAGCGGGAACCAAACGTGGGACTCTCTGGTCCGCAGGCCAATGCTCCAACCGCTGGGCCAAACCGGCCAGGGCTCACCAATCTCACTTTTTAACAGAGAAAAACAAGACCTGGAAGAAGCAGAGAGTCTTCAGGAAGCAGCAACAAATAGCGTCTAACTATAGTTTAGTCAGATTTCATTGTTTACTGATATTTCATCTTTCCACTGTACAGGTGTTTAAGGTTATCTTCTAGTCAGGCATGCGGCACTAGTTTCAATTTGTAGATCCTAAAGATGTCTTCTTTTTTTTTTTTATCCTCACCCGAGGACATTTTTTGATATTTTGTTCAGATAGAGTGGGAGGGAGGGAGAGAGAGAGAGAGAAACATCGATGTGAAAGGGGACACATCGAGTGGCTGCCACCGCACGACCCAGCCAGTGCCGGGGACAAACTGCAACCGAGGTACGTGCCCTTAGCGGGAACCGAACCCGGGTCTCTCCGGACCGCAAGCCGACGCTCTAACCACTGAGCCAAACCGGCCAGGGCAAGATGTCTTTCTTTATATGACATTTAAGTTAAAAATAAGAGATTACTTAAAATAAATTATAAATAAGTAATAGTAAGGGTGATATAGAGATTTGGCAAAAATCATGAAGGAGGAACCTCCATAAAGGAAAAATCATGAAGGAATGACTAACATCAGGAAGTTCTGTGGATGCCATGAGGGACGGGGTGGGGTGCCTACCTTGGCTGTGGCATGGGCCCGGATCTCAGCGCTGCCAGTGATGTCCAGCGTGTCATACAGCTGCTCGTACACCTGGTGAGGACCCAGCAGCATCAGGGTCCGCCAGCTCCTCCTCCCTCAACACAATGAGTCCAGGCCTGCAGACTCGCCCACCCAAGGAACCCGGGGCGGGAGGAAAACTACAATTCCCATAGAATCCCGGAGCTGACGCACGGGCACCCCAAGGCGCACCGCCCCGGGCACTGCTGGGAGGCGTAGTCCCCGGCCTTGGGGCGACCAGGAAGAGGACGGCGGCCCCGACTCGTGCCCAGACGCGCAGCACTCACCTCCCGAATGGCAGAGCAGAACCGGCTCTGCAGGACGCGCTGGAGGGCCTGCAGCTTCTGCGGGGGCAGCTCCCCGCTGCGCTGGAGCCGCTCGAGGAGCTCCACGGCCCGGGACACGTCTGCGGGGCGGGGGCGGGCGCGAGACACGGTCAGAGACACCAAGACGCAGAGAAGCACCGGGAGATGTGGCCACAGACCGCGTAAGGGCCAGCGCAGACCGACCCGGGAAGGACAGCCTAGTCCCGGTCGGGCACCCGCAGAGTCGCAGGTGGCAAGGGCACCCTGCGGCCCCGGGGTTCCCATGCACCCCCAGACAGGGGTGTACCGCAGGCGCCCCTTCCCAGCCCGCTCGCCCACGGACCCTCCCACATCCACCAACCTCCAGACTCACAACGCCCCGCCCCGCCCACCCCCTCCGGGTCCAACCCCGGGAGGGGCGGGGTCGGGGGTCGGATGCCAGCCGCGGCCTGGTGGGCAGGGCCCCCTGGTGTGCTTACCCCGCTCCAGCCCCAGCGGCTCCACCAGCGCAGCCATGTCGGAGCTGCCGCTACAAGCCGCCCTCCTGCCCGGTCGCCAGCGAGGAGGGCGGGGCTTCACGAGGCCACGCCCCGGGCGACGGGTGATCCCTGCGGAGGCGCGGCTGCCGCACCTGCTCCGGCGCCGGTCTGGCTGTCCAGCCCTCAACCCCCATGGGTCTCTCCTGTTTGCGGCCCATCCTACTGCAGCCTCTGTCTGCACCTCCTTCCATCTAAGTCTGTCTGTTCTGCCCGCCACACACGTCTGTCCCCTCTCTACCCATTTTCCCCACGTTCATTGGAAAAACGTATGTTAAACATCTGGGCCCAAAATGGACACGATGGTGAGCAGGGCAGACAAGCCCACTGCCCTCACGGAGCTTAGGCTATGGTGGAGGGGAGGTAGACAATCAACTATGGCTGTGATCAGAATTGAAAGTGAGGAAGGGATAATCTAAGAGGGGATAATTAACAGAGAGTCCTTGGAGGTAAGATCAAGAGGTGGGATGTGGATCACTTTCCAGGTAGAAAGAGCCCACGCGGCTGGACAGTAGAATAAGGATTGCAGTTTATGATGGTTTATGATGGTGAAAAAATGGGCAAAATAGTTTATGCATGTACTTGTGTGTTGCACATGCATGTTGAGGATTTTGCACTTAGAGTAACTCCAAAGTGTAAAATTCAAATGTGTACTTGAAGATCACTGTGGCCACCGTGTGGTGAATGGATTGGATGGGAGCAAGAGTAGAGGCAGGGCGTCAGTCAGGAGGCTATCTGAATATCCGTTGATGCCTGGGACCAGAGCAAAGGCCTGGAGGGTAGGTGGACAGATATGGAAATACCTGGACATGTCTTGGTGAGTCACTGTATATGAGGAGTGGGAGGTGGAAGAGAAGCGGGTATAAAGGTGCTTGTGGGGCCTTTCGCTCACAGTCCATGCTGGTCATGGGATATTGGACATTTTGAATAGGAGGAGCATTGTACAGTACCCAAAACCTGCAAGCATTTTTGAGAATTTGGGCAAACGTGGTAAATAAAACCATAGGAGCAGACAGCAATGCTGGGGGCAAGTATAGAATGAAGAGGACCTAGGATTCAGTCCACAAAACTCCTAACATTTAAAGTCAGGACGAGGAGAAAGAAAGGCCAGAAAAGGAGGAGGAAAATCAGGTGAGAGAAATCACAAAAAAAGTTTTAAAAAAGAAAGTGGGCTGTTGTATCAGATACTCTAAAAGGGCCAAAGAAATGTAGGAAATAGCCATGGCCGGTTTGGCCTGTGGACCAGAGTCCTGGGTTCGATTCTGGCCAAGGGCATGTACCTCCTTGCGGTTCGTCCCCACCCTGGGTGGGATCCTGCGGGTGGCAACCAACCAATGTGTCTCTCTCACGTCGATGTTTCTCTCCCTTTCTCCTCCTCCCACTCTGTCTGAAGATAAATGTAAAAATATCCTCAGGTGAGGATTGAAAAAAAAAGAAATGTAGGCAAGACTGAAGTGTGGCTGTGCCTCAACCCTGGCTGGATGGGGGTATGGAGTCTAGAAAAGGGCTTTTGCAAAACCAGAGAAGTTTGCAAGTTGGTTTATCCCTCTCTCCTTCCCAGTATTTCTTTTTCTATATTAACAAAAAGTAATCCATTTATTTGAATTTTAAAACAAAATCAAGCCCTGGCTGGTTTGGCTCAGCGGTTAGAGCGTCAGCCCTCAGACCAGAAGAGTCCTGAGTTTGGTTCCCACTAAGGGCACGTACCTTGATTGCAGTTTGTCCTCGGCCTCAGTTGGGGTTGTGTGGGTGGCAACCACTCGATGTGTCTCTCTCACATCGATGTTTCTCTCTTTCTTCCTCCCTCTCTCCCTCCTGCTGTATCTGAAGATAAATGCGAAATGTCCTCGGGTGAGGATAAAAAATTTAAAAATAAATAAAAACAAGTAACCAAAGAACCTATATGCATAGCCCAAGGACACAGACAATAGTGAGTAAAGGCCTGGCGTGGGACAGGGTTGGGTAGATGGGAGAAGTGGGGGAGAAATAGGTGACATCTGTAATACTGTCAATAAAATATAAACTTAAAAAGGAAATACAGAAGGACTAATATCGAAAAGAACTCTCTCCACTGCAAGAGGCAACAATTTAATAGGTATTTAATCAGCTAGTTGCTTCTGTATCTAAGTACCTTGCTATTTCTCAATTTCCCAATTTCAGTTGTAATACATTACATATTGATTTTCTGCCCTTACAACCTTTTTCTTCTCATGTTAGTTTTATGATACAAGTTTTGAGATCAATCAATAAAATGCTTGCATTATGTCAAAGTACTTATTGTTTACTGCAGAGCCCAAGTAGTGTTCTGTGATTACATTTTTTCTTGAACAGCTAGCTTGTGGGCATTTGGGTTGTGTCCCCGTGATTTCTATCTACTTGTGTTTTTTCACCATTTTTTATTTCTTTTTAACTCTCCATCACAACGGGTATCTTACCGAGTTTTGTTTTTAGCCTGAAACTCCTCAGAAACTTCAGTCCTCTCATCCTAATCTGGACAAAATGCTCGTTAGAAAACTGTCATCCTGGGACTTTCTCCATTGCTTTGCTGAACTGGGTCAGTTTCTCTTTGAAACCCTGCATTTTGAAATATATTCTGTTAACTTACTAAAAAGATTATGAGATTTCTTGCTTTCATTTAATTTTTATTCCCCTAGCATTTATGTTAACAGGAATGTCTCAGGTTATCTAGTATCTAATCAACTACCAACTGCAGCTACTACATTTTTAAAAATATTTTTTCATTGATTTTTTTAGAGAGAGAAAGGGAGAGGGAGAGATAGAAACATCAATGAGAGAGAACCTCAGTAGGCCGCCTCTTGCATGCCCCCCACTGGTGATCAGGCCCACAACCTGGGCATTTGCGATGACAAGGAATCAAACTGGCGACCTCTTGGTGCATGGGTGACACTCAACCACTGAGCCACACTAGCTGGGCAAGGACGTTTTCTATTTATCTTGTGGTCTTTTGTTGCAGGATTCTTTCAAATGCCTATGATCTTTGGGTGTATGTTTACAAAGACCAAAGCAGCCCTGGCCGGTTCGGCTCAGAAGTGGAGCATTGGCCCTTGGACCAATGAGTCGCAGGTTCAATTCTGGCCAAGGGCACGTGCCTTGGCTGCAGTTCATGCAGGAGGTGGCCAGTCGGTGTGTCCCTCTCACTTCGTTGTTTCTCTCTCCCTCCCAGTCTATCTGAACATGAACAGACCTCGGTGAGGATAAAAAAAAACAACAAAAAAACCCACAAAGACCAAAGCAGTTAGAAGGCATACTAGGATCCTTGACTATGTCAATTACATGTAACTGACAGGCTGCCTCTGGGTTATCAAGGTAAGTTTGTCTTCAGGCTGAAAAACTTCAAAAACACGCAAGTCGGTCCTAGCTTGTATATCCTAGGCAGCAAATGTCCAGCTCCCATGCATCTGGACTGCTGATACAAAGGGCCACTGTTGTATTCAAACTCCACCTTGTCTCCTACCCTTCTTACACCTGGAATTGCAGCCTTGAACCTCTCTAGGGTCCAGCAAGGGTGACTGGCTTCCTCCTCAAGGGACAATCAGCAAATGTTTTCTTCGTCATCTTATTTAATCTTTTATCCAGAAATGTGCTGGAATATCAACTGATGAAACCTCTTCTGATTCTTGCTTGTTATTACTCTATTAGCAGAAAGTAAGAAAAACGGTGAACTTGCCATCATGACTGTAGGCCATTTTCCATCCTGGCCATGTAGACTCTCTGCTTCATTCAATCTTCTCATCCTCTTTTTTCCTTTCTTCACCCTTTTCTTGCTCTCCAATTCAGACAACAGCTTCCTTTTTACAAAGTAGCAGCTTCCACTGAATAATCAAATGCCTAGAGCTACCCCCTCCACTTCCCTCCCCAAGCTAGGGGTATGAACAGCCCCCAAACTAGGGTTGTGTGGAAGAGGTCAAAGGAAAAGGGGGGGCACAAAGGGATCGATGACCTTTACAGAGAACTTCCTTACCCCATTTTAAACAGCTCTGGTATACTAGGGTATCCCCAGCCTTAGGCCATAAAGCTCAAGTTCTAGGCATGCCCTTGAATACGAGCCAGAGTTATCAAATCAGGCGACAACCTTCTGAGGAAGACGTAAGAGCAGTGACGATGGCTGGCTGATGTGGCTCAGTGGACTGTGTGTCGTCCCATGGACTGAGAGTTCCTGGTTCAGTTCCCAGTCAGGGCACATGCCTGGGTTTTGGGCTCGATCCCCAGTAGGGGATGTGCAGGAGGCAGCCAACATGTTTCTCTATCACATCGATGTTTCTCTCTCTCTCAAAAATCGATAAAACATATTTTTGAAAATAGGAAAAAAGAGCAGTGAAGAAACCAAGGTGCCCATTAACAGGAAATTAATTTTATTTTTAAATCCAAGGAACCAGAACAAATAAGGAGACTCCTACCCATGGATGGCAAACTTAGATGGCCAAGGTTGGGGAAAGGATGATAGCAACGGGGCGGGTAGGAACACGTCCAAACAGGTGAGAGGCCTCTTCACTCTGGTGCAGCTTCCATCAAATACCCGTTCTCTGGAGCAAGATACCCATCACCTCCCTCAGACTCCATGTACATGTCTCGGCCATCATTGCCCATACCCTCTAGCCCGTTGTCCTGGCCACCCCCACCCCCACCTCGGGACTCATCCCTGCCTCGTTCACCACCCCGCTCCCCGCGCTTGTGCTCTCGATCCCGGTCTCGATCTCGGTCCCGGCGCCGATCCCGCTCGCTCCGGTGGCTCCGACGTCGTTCCCGGTCACGATCCCGGCCCTTCTCCTCTGGACCATCAGGGCCATCTGGACCCAGCTCCCCAGGAGGACCATCATCAGGAGCTGCATCACCAGCCTCAGAGGGCTCTGCCATGTCGCCACCACCTCCACCACCACGCAACTCCTCCTTGCGCTCTCGCTCCCTGCGTGCTCGCTCCCGGCTTCGGCTGCTTCGCCGCTTCCGGTCCCGGTCCTTGTCCTTGCTTCGCTCCCTGGAGCGCCGCCGCTCATCCTTGT